AATACGTCTGAACAGTTTCTGCCCTCTTAAATGCTGCCCATAATGAAAGCAATGCAGTGGAAAGAGTTTAGATTTTAGTTTGGATCCCAAACTCTCTCCTTGGGTTTCCAAGCAAGTTTCTTCCCTGAGCTGTGGTTCCTTCAGAGAGCTGTTAGGTTTCTTGTATCAGAGTATATTTGGTTTACCTGCCTTCCTTCCAACTTGACCCCAGGACTTATTTCTGAAATAAGGCAGTGCCTGATTCCAGAGTGAGTGCTCCATGGATGTTTGTAGTGAATAAGTGGAAAGCTGTATTTTATTTTTATAAATGCCACTGCTTACTAACTCCCACTGTTTGCTCTCTTTTTCATATCTCTACATTGGGAGAAGGAATAAAAACTTCTTTAAAGAAATATTGGAAAGTAAAGGCTTTTGTGATTTAAAATAGATATTAATTCACATTTCTTCCATAATTCCTTTTCTACCATATTTGAATAATGAGGTACCATTTTAATGGCTCCTTACCTTCTAAGAAGTTTTTTGCATTATATATTTTTAAAAACAGCTGGTGACTTAAAAACATTGATAGAGTTGTAAAATAAATGATTCAATCTAAAAGGAGCTAACTTATGTAAAGCATGTTCTATATACAGGTTGCTAATCCATTCAATGAAAGTATATCTTGTTTTGATCATGCGAGGTACCCAAAGAATGAACTGAAGCAGGTGAAAATTAGGATAACAAGTCAGTTATCCAGAATGTGAGTACTCACAGATATGTGCTAGGTAAAGAAATGGTTTGGGGTGCCTGCATGGCTCAGTCAGTTAAGTGTCCAGCTCTTGATCTCAGCTCAGGTCTTGATCTCAGGGTCATGAGCTCAAGCCCTGCATTGGGCTCCATGCTGGGCATGGAGCCTACTTAGAAAAAGAAAAAGAAATGTTTTAAGGTTATGAATATATGATTGATGACTGGTCATCTATAGTTGTGGGGAAAGGGGAAGCTTTAAAATTTTTAGAGTTAAAATGAGAAAGGACAAGTATACCAAAAACAAATTTAAGGTTTCTACTTGCAAAACATTCAATCCAGTGCCCAAGAAAAGGCTTTCATCTTGAAAGATGAAAGAATTAAATTGGAACTAGAACACTGAAGGCTACTACGGAAGCATGCATTTATTTGGGCATATGGTAGTAATCCACTGAACACATAGTTATAATCTATTGGAGAATAACCAGAACAGATTTTCCAGGCAAGTTTTTTCTGCCAAATCAGCTTGCTTTTTATGATGGAAGAAGGAAGATGCAGAGAAATACGTACACCAATGTATTCTCATCTATTTCAAAGTCACTTCAGTATCTCTCTTTAAAAAACATTGCCTTCATCTTTATGAAGAGTCCTTCAGGTGCTAGATGCAATAGATTTCAATGATCAATTTCATTATTTTGTGGGGTCAAAAGAGTTAATTGCATTGGAAAAAAATCATTTGCATGCTCTTCAATACAATGTGTGTATATAACTGGATTTCAAAGGAATGTAATGTCGATTTAGTTATTGATTAAAGAGTTAAACTACAGACATTGAAGAAGCAGGATCAAATTATCTAAAATAAGAGGTCAGGCTATGTGCTTAAGTGTTTTGCACACAGAGACACTGAAACACATCTTGATTGACTAAAGGCCTCTGATTTCTAGCTGTCATTTTTTTTTTTTTGCATTTAAAAATACTAGACAGAAATTGCAACACCTCAGTCAAATATATTTATGGCAAAATGATCCGTAAGTGGCAGTTTTCAGTTAATATGATTGAAGTTATTTAGTTCTGCTCTGTGACAAGTAAAATTACTATTTATCAGGGATAGGTAATTACATATTTGGCCTAAAATTAATCAATATGAACACAGGAGAGCTGGCACTCAAGCAGAATCAGGATCTCATTAAAGCAAAATTTTGTAAAGTGAGGTCAATCATGCCACCTGGAGAATGAATAGAAGAGATTATAAATGCAAGAGAATAACATGAACCTTTTAATCATACAGTTCTCAAAGAATTATAAAATACCTCAAACTTTCTGTCATTTACAAATCATTTTTTTATTATTTCATACCTAGCTCTTTTGAATAAGATATAGAATTTTAAGGTTTGAATAGTTTGCTTTATATTATTAGCTAGCTGACAATGGAACTATAAATAGATGGCAGGACAGTTGGCCTTTTGTATGTGACTGAATGTTGGTTCATGGTATTTTAGAGATCTATGGAACTCCATTTTTTTTCTTTTAGCCAAGAATATTGGCAGATAGAGCATGGCCATTATTTCATGAACAAGAGATGAACTAGAGATCAGATAGTTGTTCTTCTGAAAACATTATGAACTTTTAAACAAAGACTTAGGATGTTGTTGAATATTCACCACTGGGGTACCACCTAATGTGACCAATGGGGAAATACTTGTTTAAATTAACTATAGAAGAGTTATCAGCTTTGGGACAGAAGCTCTAGTAAATCAGATGTCCAGAAAGGAAATTACTGATAGAGCTGAGGGACAGTAGAGGCCATATTTGGTTGGTTGGTCTCATATCACTCAGGGAAGGAGCAGTTTTGTGGAAGTGGGGATCATAATGCTAATGTCAAGGTGACAGCTAAATGAGAGGATATGAGACCTGATCAGCAGAAGTTTCTTGCACCTGAAGTTGCCCCAAGTGGGTGACCTTTGTTGCATAACAAGGCTGAGGTCTATTTCCATCAGCCCTCACCTCTCAGTCTGAAAGGTCAAGGTAATTCCATTTCACACAGTTGAACACTTACGTCCACATTCACTATCCGCCCACTGGTGTGGTGCAGGGCTGAGTCCCTGGAGTTGTTTCTGACTGATCCCTCTTTTCAAGTCCAACGCATGAAGTGTAGGATTGAGGCTGAGTAAGTGGGCTTTCTTCAAGGCCCCAAATTTGTGCTTTTATTTGTATTTTTATTCTCAAGGGCTTTTACTTTTTTTTTTTTCATTTTGCATTCATTTTTATTTTTTTTTCAATATATGAAATTTATCGTCAAATTGGTTTCCATACAACACCCAGTGCTCATCCCAAAATGTGCCCT